TTTCCTGCATCATCCTGGTGGCAATTTTGGGGTTTGAGCCTTGAGCTTTAAAACTGTGCTGGGGGCACAGGGCCTGGAGCCTCGGGAGGGTTCGTCCCCATGCACTCGGTGCCTTGACCTGCGGCTTCCCCACAGGAGCTGCGGCTGGGGCGGGATTCCCTCTTACTGAGGGCACCCAAAAACGCGACAGGAGCAGCATCGAGCCCTGGCTCGGGTTGGACAGAGATGATTTCCCCAGAGCCGCCAGCAGCAGAACATCAGTGGGAACAAGCGGCCTCCTCAGCGGCAGGGACACGGAGGGGACAGCCCTGGCTCTCCGGGGATCCCGGGGTTCTCCCTTCCAAAGCCCATCTGGGTGCCAGGACTGGGCTTGCTGGGGATGCTGGGGAGCAAGGACGACTCCTGCCCTCCGGCACTGGGGTGCAAGTGACGCTGATGGGAACCAGCGCCCGCTCCCGAGCCCCAGGGAAGGGTCCCAGCCCTGGGGACACCCCGGGGACACCCCGGGGACCCCCGGTCCTGTTCTCAGCCTCTCCCCAGGCGCTTCCTCCCGAACCGCAATAAAAGGCGTTACCTGCTGGGCCCAACTCGGCTCTTCCAGGAGTATTTAACTTTGCTGGTGCCTCCTGGGAGCCAAACAAGCGGCTCAAGCGCGCCGATCTCGCAGCTTTGGCAGCCAAAGTTGCCTCTTAGTCTTCTTATTTGTCACAGAACCGCGGCGCTAAGGCTCGGGAGAATCTTTATTTAGTGTTGCAGATGTCACCAAGGCACCGCAGATTGGAAATGAGTCCAAGGGATTAGGACGAGGTTATTAATTGGAGGCCTTCCCCTTTAAGAATGATTGACAGTTACTTTCTGGACAAGTAATTGCTCTAAATGTCCCCCCCCAGCGCGGGTCCGGGGGGCGGTGGAGGACAAAGCCCCGAACTGCCTTCCCCACTCGGATTGTCTCCCCACAAAGGCGTCCTGCTGGAGTTTGCCGTGTAATCCCCTCATTACAGCCAGGAGGAAGAATTAGAGACAGGGGGAGCGGGGAAGAAAGGCCGGGAGATGGGGGGGAGGGAGGAGGATCTCCTCCGGCGGTGGATGGAGCTCCCCGGGCCCTGGTGGGATGGGGATGCAGCGGCGTGGTCCCCGTGATGGGGATGCAGGACTGGGAGTGATGGGCGCGGGGCGTGGGGACAGGGACGGGCACTGGGCATGGGTGCAGCTGTGAAGGCCGAGTATGGGGAGGGGGTGATGGAGGCTGGGGACCTGCTGTGGGGTCGGGGTAGGGGGGATCAGGCGTAGGGACCATAGGGACTGGGCAGCCTAAACAGCCCTGGGGACCCGGAACAAGGGTAGGGACCAGGCAGGGGGACTGAGTGTGGGAAGCAGCCATGGGGAGCACTGTCCATGGGACCGGGCGTGAGGGTCCCACCTCGTCCATTCCTGGCCATGGGGCTGAGCACAGGGACCAGGTGTGGTGACGCTCGGTGGGGTCCAGCTGTGGGGCTGCCCATGGGCCCCGACGTGGGGATGAGGGGCAGAGGCAGCCGGGCTGGGGGACAGAAACACTGGGGGAAAATGGGGACATCCTGAGGGGGGTCCTGGGGTCCTCGCTGCTGCCCCCATTCCTCGGGGGGGGGAGGGGGGGGGTTGCCCTTTTCTTTCTCTGCTCACTTTGAGTTTTCCTCCCCAAACCTCTTCCTGCCACCTGCAGAAGCTGCCTCAGCTCCCTCCTCAGCACGGTTCTGCTTTCGGGTGGCAAATGTCACCTCCAGGGCGGGTTGGGAGCCCCGCACTGGGTGGCTGCTGGCCCCGTGCTGTGGGACCCCATGGCCCCCTCTGTGCCCCCGGTTGGACCAGTGCCCACCTCGGTGGCCATGGCAGTGGGGCCGTGGGGCTTCTCCGGCCCGGTCCGACCGCTCTGGGGACAGCTCGGAGATACTGGGGGTGCCCAGAGAAGCTGTGGCTGCCCCATCCCTGGCAGTGCTCAAGGCCAGGTTGGACACAGGGGCTTGGAGCAAGCTGCTCCAGTGGAAGGGGTCCCTGCCCTGGCAGGGGTTGGGACCAGAGGAGCTTTAAGGTCCCTTCCAACCTAAACCCATCTGGGATTCTATGACTGTGGCATTGCCACCACCCAGGGACATGGCCCCACTGCAGAGGGGTGGCAGACTCAGCCCTTGGGGACTGGTTACATCCCAACACCATAGAGTGCTGCAGGGGGGAGCTGCCTTCGGGGGGACTGGGACATCCCAAGGCACTGGTACAACTCATGGGGCTGGAGATGCAAACAGGCACTTGATGCCCTCAATGCGGCCGGTGCCAGTCCTCTGCTCTGGTGGCTCCTCCGGGGTCTCCCCATGGCCCTGGGGGTGCTGCCGTGCCAGGAACCCTCCGTGACCACCTGAATGTGCAGGGGGGGGCAGCGGGGGGAGGCTGCTGGTGCCCAATGATTCTAATGGCCTTGCAGGAGCAGATAGCAAATTGATTTGCTTCCTCGCCCAAGGCCCGTAATCGCTTCATCACTTTAAAATATTAATGCTGTACTTCTTTGCTCGTTTCCCAATTACCCTAATTGAAGGCAAATTGGTTAAGAAGGTGCAATGCAGAGTATCAGGGGGTTTAGTTCACTCAAATGACAGTTTTAAACCTCCCTAATCCTATTAACGGGCAAAGCCGCTAACGCTTAGAGACGCTGCGTCAGCTTACCGGGGCCGGGGCCGGGCGGGGGGCGGCCCGGGGGGCACTGGCCCCACGTCACCAGCTCCAGCGGGGATTTGTCACCTTTTTAGTTCATTAAGAGGCCTTGGGCAGGGGTGACCCAAAAGGGTGCTGGGCAGGAGGCAGGTGGCAGCGTGGGGGGACAGGGCGATTATCCAGAGACCTGGCCCAGGGTCCTGACCTGGATCCCAGCTGGTGCCGGGATGCAGCCCCACGGGGAGTCAGGGTGGGACAGGATCCCAGTGCGGAGTGGGGATGGAGGAACCTGCTGTGGGCCAGGGACCCTTGGACCCTGTCAAGCACTGGCACTTGGTCACTTGGTGTTGAGTCCCAGTGCTGGGTGCCAGTGCTGCTGCCACCCATGAGGGAGCTGGCTGGGGGACTGCTGGGGACAGGGGTGGCTCCATCCCATGCAGAGCAAGTGAACTGTGATTTTTTGTGCCCAAACTGGGAGATTTTGCAGGTACCAAAGAAAGGCTGGAGAGCAGGGATGTTGGGATGGTGGGAATGGTAGGGATGGTGGGGATGGCGGGCATGGTGGGGATGGTAGGGTTGGTGGGGATGGTAGGGATGGTGGGGATGGCAGGGATGGTGGGGATGGTGGGGATGGTGGGGATGGTGGGGATGGTGGAGATGGTGGGGATGGCAGAGATGTTGGGGATGGCAGGGATGGTGGGGATGGTGGGGATGGCAGAGATGTTGGGGATGGCAGAGATGGTGGGGATGGCAGGGATGGTGGGGATGGTGGGGATGGTAGAGATGTTGGGGATGGCAGGGATGGTGGGGATGGCGGGGATGGCAGGGATGGTGGGGATGGTGGGGATGGTAGAGATGTTGGGGATGGCAGGGATGGTGGAGATGGTGGGGATGGCAGAGATGGCGGGGATGGCAGAGATGGTGGGGATGGTGGGGATGGCAGAGATGTTGGGGATGGTGGGGATGGCAGGACATGGGCAGAGGCCATGGGTGTTAAGCTCATGCCATACACCCCCTGGGACGCTCCAGCAGCCCCTCGGCTGGTACCTGGAGGGGTTCATGTCCATGCTGGGGACACATCGGGCACCTCCTGCACCCAGGGCCCCCCCTTGCTGGAGCTCCTGCAGCTTCGGGGGCTGAGACCTGTGGCTCTTGTGACACCGACCTGCCCCATGGCGCAGCTCCCACCCTCCCAGCCCCATCGCGCAGCCATGGGCAGCCCGGGGCTGGGCCGTCCCCACAGATCCTTCCGGAGCAGATGGCCCCGGCGCGGGGAGCCCGGAGGCGGCTCAGCGCGTCCAGGCTTTCATGCAGACACAGCGGGACTCCCCCGGCGGCTCCGGCCCCGGCCCCGGCCCCGGCCCCGGCTCCAGCTCCGGCTCCGGCTCCGGCTCCAGCTCCGGCTCCGGCGGGAGGTGTCGCTGGGGCCGTGCCTTTAACACGGGTCCTGCGAGCGGAGCCCTCGGGGCTCAGGCAGATTAAACCTCGCTAAAATAGGCAGGTATTACGTGATCCCAGCAGCCCGCAGCCTGCGGGTGAGCCAGGGCTGCTTCGGCGCCTGCGGGCAGGGAGCAGGACCCCGGAGAGGTGAGAGGCAGAGAGGGGAGCCATGGCCAAAGGGACCCTGCCAAAGGGACCGCACTGCTGCCGGCACTGGTAGGGGGATGCTCAAGGGGGATAACTGCTGCCACCATCCTCACCTCATTGGTGCTGCCCCTCAAGGGGTGCCCTAGGGTGCGGGGCCATCCGGTCCCACTGGCTCCATTGCGTGTGGGCTGCTGTAGAAGGTAGGGAGGGATCTGGGGCCAAGTGTAATGGGCTGGTTGCTGGCTCTGGGGCATGTGGGGCAGATCTGCTGTAGTGATGTCATTGAATACACACTTAACCCCCAGCCCGGGATAGGGTTTGTGTGGATGAGGGTACGGCAGGAAGAGCAGAGTGGTGCCAGCAAACACTGCCTTTATTGAGCCAAATCATCACAGAATCCCAGCCTGGTTTGGACTGAAGGCTCCTCCTGTTCCAACCCCTTCCATGGGCAGGGACCCCTTCCACTGGAGCAGCTTGCTCCAAGCCCCTGTGTCCAACCCGGCCTTGAGCACTGCCAGGGATGGGGCAACCACAAATGGTGTCTGAGGCCCCAGTGCTGGTTCCTGGGGGCCACAGAGCATCAGAGATCCCCCCCACCCATCCTGGGGCTCAGACCAGGGGCACCACAGGGAGGGGTTGATGGGGACCCAGACATTCTGCATCCCAGCAACCCGGGAAAGCAATAGGAATGGGTTTGGGGAGGAACCCCCCCTCCAGTGCAGGTACTGGGATGCTCACCCCAGGTAATGGCACCCACAGCCCGCACATCCCCTCGGCCCAGCACTGCTGGGGTGGGCAGCAGCATCACATCAAGGCACACTTCTTCACCTCGCCCATGCTGCCCAGCGCCCGGTCCCGCAGCGCCGGCAGCTCCACGTCCCGCAGCTTGCTCAGGAAGGTGAAGGCCCCGGCGCTGCCCTCCTCCTCCTCCTCCTCCTCCTCACCGTGCACCATGGGGGCCAGCTCCTGCGGCAGCTCCACCGCGCCGCCGGCCACGTGCAGCTGAGCATCGTCCCGCTCGTCCTGCGGGGACAGGGCGCTGGGTGCGGGCAGACCTGGCCACCAGCGGCCCTTGGGTGCGGGCAGACCTGGCCACCAGCGGCCCTTGGGTGCGGATAGCCAACAGCCCTTGGGTGCGGGCAGACCTGGCCACCAGCGGCCCTTGGGTGCGGATAGCCAACAGCCCTTGGGTGCGGGCAGACCTGGCCACCAGCGGCCCTTGGGTGCGGGCAGACCTGGCCATCAGCGGCCCTTGGGTGCGGGCAGACCTGGCCAGGGGTGGCAGCGCCCTTGGGTGCGGGCAGACCTGGCCACCAGCGGCCCTTGGGTGCGGGCAGACCTGGCCACCAGCGGCCCTTGGGTGCGGGCAGACCTGGCCACCAGCGCCCTTGGGTGCGGGCAGACCTGGCCATCAGCGCCCTTGGGTGCGGGCAGACCTGGCCACCAGCGGCCCTTGGGTGCGGGCAGACCTGGCCACCAGCGGCCCTGGGTGCGGGTGTGCGGGAACCGCTCACTGGGGAGGGCATGGGGAAGGTGGGGGACACGGGCCCTGTCGGGGCGGACACACGCAGCCGTTTGCTGCCCTCTTCAGGAATCGCCTCCCTGGGCAGGCGCCCGGCCTGGGGCTGTCCCGCAGGGTCCATGGGGAGACCTGGAGGTCCCTGCAGGGGCTGGTCCTTACCTGGGCCAGGCGGTACTTGTCCCGCAGGTGCATCCGGACAGCGGCCCTCCCCGCCTTCCTCTGTGCAAAGGCCTTGTCCCGCTCAATCCTGCAGCGGCGGGTGCCACGTTGTCACTTCCCACCCCCCCAGAACCACCCTCCCCGGCATCGCCCTGGCCCCCCAGCAGCACAGAACAAGCACTTTCAACCCTTGCAATGTTCCATCTTCAAGCTTTCATCTTTAAGCTTCTCCTTCCTCATTGGGGTGGATGGAGAAGGAGATGCCAAGATCCACGGGAGGGTTCTAATGGGGTACGGAGGGCAGGGGCCACCTCCTGCCCCTCCAGCCCCAGTGGAGATGCTCAGTGAAGGTGCCCATTGGAGGGGCTTGCTCAGCTCCTGGATGCTGTGTCACTGGGTCCCCACAGCACCAGACTCAAGGTGGTGGGACCTCAATACAATCCCGTGCTGGCTCCTCTTGGCCCTCAGCTCCACAGGTGCTGGGCTGGCACCAGGCACCCGCCACATCAAGGCAGTGGCACCCATGGATGACCCTTGTCACCTACAGTGCCCCAAACCCCTGCCCCAGCCCCAGCACCCACAGGGACCTCCTGTGCTCTGCTCCTGTCCTTTGCCCCGGCTGCTTCCCTGTCCCTGTGCTGCCCTGGGAGAGCCCATGCTGCAGATGGGACCCCGGTCCCTGTGCATGGGGGACCCCATTGACCCCCAGCCCCACCAAAGCCTCACTTCTCCTCCAGCAGCTGCCGCTGGTACTCCTCAAACTCCTCGCGGTTCATGCCGTTGGGCAGCGCGGCCTCCTTGGCATCCTTGGGGGGCCCCTTGGGTGCCTCCTCCTCGCCCCCCTTGAAGCTCTTCAGGGCAGCCGTGAAGAAGGAGGCCATGAGTGGTGGCTGTGGCCGCCCGCGCCCCCCGATGCCGCTGGTCCCAGCCCGGGGCAGTGCCTGCAAGGTCAGCAGGACCAGCCCAGGGGCACCGCGGATCAGGGGCGGATTAAGGCATTAGGAGGGGAAGCCACAGGCACTGGTGTGGGGACATCTTCAGGTGCTGCTCACCTCACCCAAGAGTGCTTGGGGACATGCTGGGATGCTGCCCCATAAGGGTGCTGGGGAGGTGGGAGCCCCTGCATCCTGCAGCGCACCCTGCATCCAGCCAGGAGACCTCCCATCACATGGGCCCCAATGCAGGGCAGCACCCCAGGGCCTCCTTCCCCCTCCTCTTCCTCCTCGCTGTGCACCATGGAGCCCTGTGCTGGGAACCCACAGTCACCCACACCAGCACAGAGAGGGCTGGTGCAAGGAGCTGGTGCAGAAGAGATGCAAGAGGATCCCTCCAGGCCTTTGCCAGGGCCCAGGGGAAGGACTGGCCTAATCTGAGCCCAGGGGCTGAACAACGCTGTTGAATTAATTCCTTTGGTTTAATCAAGAAAGCCCAAATCCATGTGGTTCAGCTGCTGCAGGCGGTGCCTGGAGCGGGGCTGCCTCAGGGTTCAGGTTCCATCCTCCAGCGGGTGAGGATTTCCTTCCTGTTCCTGTCACGGGGATGGGCAGCTCGAAGGGACCCCCCACCCCATGGGATGTCTGCTGTGATGATAGTCCCAACCCTGGTGGGTCTTCTGGCCACAGGTCCCGGAGGAGACAGGGGTTAAACATCCCTCAGGTGCTTCAGCTCCTTCTGCAGCTTCTCAGTGAGCTTCTTGAAGGACGGCCGCTTGCCCGGCTCCAGCTCCCAGCAGCTCCTCATCAGGGCATAGACAGTGTGGGGGCAGCCCTCGGGGGGCTCCATGCGGTACCCCTGCTCCAGCAGCTCCGTCACCTCCTTCAGGCTCTGGCAGCATGGAGAACACAGCTGAGAGTCCCCTGCCTCTTGCCCCAGGCAGGGGACACTGGGATGTCCCCATGCCACTGACCTGCAGCATCCCCTGGCCCAGCACTCACCAGCTTGGGGTAGGGCGCACGGCCGAAGGAGAAGGTTTCCCACAGGAGGATTCCATAGCTCCACACGTCTGACTTGGAGGAGAATTTCTGCAGCAGCAGCAGCAGGAGGGGAGGCTGAAGCCGACCTCCCCGAGGGCAAAACAGGAGCCAGAGCCTGCCCCCTGCCACCCCCAACTCCCCCTTCCCATCCCCTGCACAGCCCTGGGGCTGATCCTGCCGCATCCCTGCGGAGCTGCCCCAGTTCCTGCTACGCACCAGGGCAAGGGCTGGCCAGGACAGAGCCTGAATTCTGGGAGGTGCAGGGCTGAATGTGCCAGGAGCCACTGCAGGACAAGGATGAGCAGAGGGACCCCAGAACTGCTTTGGGAGGACCCCCCCGTGCCCTTCACGCCTTCCCACCACCACTCACATTGTGTTTCAGGGCCTCTGGGGCCGTCCACTTGACAGGCAGCAAAGTGGCATCTGCACCCTTAGGATTGACCCTGGCCAAGCCGAAATCGCTCACTTTGGCCACGTTCTCCTCAGAGATGAGGATGTTGCGGGCAGCCAGGTCCCTGTGCACCAGCTTCTTGGACTCCAGGTAGTCCATGCCCTGAGCCACGTCCCTGTGGAGGGCAAAGGAGGCAGAGCACAGATCCCTGGGGATGCCCGGGGGATGCAGAGCAGCAGTTCCCAGCCCGAAGGCAAGGACATGGACTTACAGAGCAAAGAGGAGGAGCTGCTCGGCTGGGACAAGCGCCCGGCCCCGTGTGCGCAGGAAGTTCACCAGGTTGCCCTGATAGAGGAGGGTAACCACGTCAGGACCAACTGATGGGGCTGCCCGGGGGCTTTGCCTCTGCAGTGCCCAGCCTCCATCCAACTCAGCCGTTAAACATGGATTGTGTCCCACATCTGAGTGGCACCGGGTCCTGCTGGCTGAGGACCGGCCGGGGGCTCCCACCTTGCTCATGAATTCCATCACGATGTAGAGGCCGTTGTGCAGGATGACCCCAAGCAAACACACCAGGTTTTTGTGCCGGACCTTCCTGAAGTGGAGGGGATCCGGGTCAAGGGGGTGCCTGCTCGGCCCTGGGACACGAGGCAGGGCAAGGCTGTACCCAGGGGACTCACGTCATGGCAGCAGTTTCAGTGAGGAAGGCCTGGGCAGTCACATCGCACTTGATGTTCTTCACAGCCACCTTCTGGCCCATGTACTCGCCCTGCAGCACATCTGGGAGGGGATGGGGGGGGTCAGGCTCAGCCCCACACCCGACTCCCCTCATCCCAGGCTGAGCCCCCCCATGCCATGGGGATGGGGTGAGGACATTAGGGGGTGCCATCTGGGGAAGCCTGGGGTCAGGGAAGCTCCAACCCCATCGTCTCACCCACCTCCAAACTCGCCTTGCCCGATGCGGTCTCCCAGCGTGAGATGCTGCAGGTTCAGCAACCAGCCAGCTGGGCATGGGCACAAGGGCAGGTCAGCAGGGGCCACCATGTCTTTGCATTGCCCCCAAAACCCGGGCCACGACCCTCTGCCTCATCCCCTACCTTTGGCCAACTCCTCCTCGGCTGACTTCATCCCGCTTTTGGGCTTGGGCTTCACCAGCTTGGTGCAGATGGCTCCCTGCTCCTTCATGTAGTACTGCCGAGGGGTGCATGATGGAGCCGATGCAGTGATGCCATCTCTTACCCCAGGCTTGGGGTGTGGAGCTGGGGGATGCTCCATGGGTCTCCCCCATCATTGACCCCAACATGGGGCTACGTTTCCCCTGGCACTGCGATTTGCAGCCCACATCTCAGCCCTGCTCCCACTGGACACAGCCAGGGAACACTGTGATGGACTCGGGGTGCTCCAGGAGGCTGCTGCTGAGCCGCACAGCAGCCGATGGGTTCAAGCCCTGGCAGTGGAGGGTGGTTTGCAGAGGCGATAAGGAGAGGAAGCAATGGCAGCTGCGGTTACAGAGTGGGGCCAGGGGAGCTGAAAGGGGGAAGGACCTACCTGAAAGCAGAATTTGTGTCTAAATGAGGAAAGCATATGAGAATGCAAAGCCCTGGTGAGGAGATGGACAGCAGCAGGAGAGAGGGGGCTTGGGGGGGACAGAGATGTGGCAAAACACCTGGTGGGCTTCAGACCCTGCCCACAGGTGCCAGGATCTTTGGTTTCCAGCATGCCCCGAGCCCTGCTGCTGAGTGAAGCACTGAATGAGCCAGGATGGGGAGAACCCCCATGAGGGACAAAGGACAGGGACGTGCCAGCAGTGTGTGACCCCATGAGGTTCGGTGCTGGTGGGGCTCCTGCCTGGCGAAGGGGTCTCACCTCGATCATGTCGATGAGGTTGCAGAAGCGCTGCTGGCTGTCGATGCTGAGCGTGTTCTCCTCGTGCACCACGCGGTAGTGGATCACCTCCCTGCCGCAGCTCACGCACAGCACGTAGTCCCCCGGGTGCCGCACGGACTCGCGCACCAGGAACAGCCCGTCCTCAGGGGGCTGCAGCTCCTGCACGGCCTCCACCCCCGAGATCTTCCCATGGAACCAGCTGGGGAGAGCACACCGTGAGGGCGGCTGCGCTGGGCGGCTTCCCCCCCACCGGCAGCGAGATGGGAAAGCAGAGCCCCAGCAAAGCTCTGGAGATGCCATTGCACAGAGCCCCTTCGAGGAGGTCCATCCCAGCTGGCTGGGCACGGCTGGGCTCTCTAAGCCCCAGTGCATCTCTCCATTGCCGGGGCATGGCTGCAGGCTGCTCCGTCCCCCAGCAGTACTCACGGCATGAGGCTGAGCTTGGGGTCAGCGCGGATGGGGCCGCGTTGCCGCAGTGCACTGGCTGCCATCAGCCCCTCCTGCCCCGTCTCGTTGTGTCTGGCGCGGTACCAGCCTTTGCCCTGAGGGCGAGAGGGTCTCAGAGCAAGGGAAGGAAAAGGGGATCCCAGTAGGATGATGGGTCCCATCCACTCCATGCTCCTGGGGCACCCACTGGGCTTACCTCCATGGCCTCAATGATGGTGACCACATCACCCTTGTGGAAGGCCAGCTCCTGGGGTTTGGGTTTGGTGTGGTCATGCTTGGTGACGCACTGTGTCCCGGGGGGCCAATGCTTCTGGAAGGGAGAAGGCAGCATCAGCAACAATGAGAGCTGGACCCCCTCCACCTCCCACAGCATCAGAGCCAGCCCCAAGCACCATCTGCAGCCCTGCCTGGGGACAACGGGCACGGGGCATGAGCCGTCCTCCACCCACTGTGGTCCTGGGGGTACACATCACCCCAGCGTGGGCAGGGGCAGTGCTGGCACCCCTGCGGCAGCCCCGCTCACCCCAGACATGGTCGGCCGTCAGCACATCAGGGACTCCCTGTCTTCTCCTGCTGCCACCTGCAGAGGAGAAACCAAAGGGGGCTGTGGAGGGATGGGGCTGAGCTGGCCCGGCCCAGGCCATGCTGTCTCCACCATCTCCTCCGGCCAACACAGTCCTTGCAAGCCTTGTCCATCCTGTGGGGCAGCCCCACACCAGAGGATGGAGAAGAAGGCTCAAAGTGTTCCAGCCACCGACTCCTGGGACAAGTGAAACTGTGGACAGTGGGACTCAGCAGGCAAATCCTCGGCAGCACAGGGTCTGGAGGGGAGACAGCCACCCACTGAAACCTGTGTCCTTGGTGGCCCTGCCTGGGTTGCTGTGCCTCCTCATACCACAGCACCACCCCATCATGTGTGAAGATAGAGAGTGTGAAGCCATCCTGCAGCTCGCTGCCCCTCTGTGTTTCTAAGAACTCAAACCAGCCAGGGAAGCATCAGCTTTTGCACTAGAGAAACATCCGAGGAGGGGAAGAGGTGGTTTCATTCCAGGACTGGTTTCCTTGGTGCTCAGTGAACACAAGGGCCCAGGCAGGGCAATGTGGGGCTGGGACCCCTTGAGAAACCCCACTTTGGCCTCTTGGAGTCCTCTCAGCAGAGGAGGCTGAAGCCTCCCTGGCTCTGCTGGGCTAGGAGAGGCAGAGGGGCTCCCTCAGCTCCTCGGAGCAGCGATGATGCTCCGTGCTCTACTTCTCTTTTGGAGGGTGAGTAAGAGTCACTCGTCCACATCACCGGTGGTAAACCCCAGCCTGTCTCCATGACGTGAGGAGCTGGGGGCTTTATCCAGTCCCTATCCAGGACAACAACAGGAAAGGGACAACTGCAGCTGCGGCATGGTTCACGTTAGCAGGCAGCACTGTTGTCTCTTCCAGGAGCCATCCTCTGTGCACACCCTGCATCCGTGCCACATGTATTATCTTAGGGGACTTGGAGGTGCAAGGCACAGCCAGCGGCTGACATGATTGGATGTATCTCTGTTCACATTGCAGGCTGAATGAGGA